AAGTATTTCATTAGGGATGTTAGTTGTAACTGATGAATGAGACGTTTCTTTAGGTACATCAGTTGTTGTTGAACTAAGTATTTCATTAGGGATGTTTGTTGTAACTGATGAATGAGACGTTTCTTTAGGTACATCAGTTGTTGTTGTTGAACTAAATGTCTCACTAAAGATGTTAGTTGCAACTGATGAATGAGACGTTTCTTTAGGTACATAAGTTGTTGTTGTTGAACTAAGTATTTCATTAGGGATGTTAGTTGTAACTGATGAATGATACGTTTCTTTAGATACATCAGTTGTTGTTGAACTAAGTGTTTCATTAGGGATGTTTGTTGTAACTGATGAATGATACGTTTCTTTAGATACATCAGTTGTTGTTGAACTAAGTGTTTCATTAGGGATGTTTGTTGTAACTGATGAATGATACGTTTCTTTAGATACATCAGTTGTTGTTGAACTAAGTGTTTCATTAGGGATGTTTGTTGTAACTGATGAATGATACGTTTCTTTAGGTACATCAGTTGTTGTTGAACTAAGTATTTCATTAGGGATGTTAGTTGTAACTGATGAATGAGAAGTTTCTTTAGGTACATCAGTTGTTGTTGAACTAAGTATTTCATTAGGGATGTTAGTTGTAACTGATGAATGAGACGTTTCTTTAGGTACATAAGTTGTTGTTGTTGAACTACGCATTTCATTAGGGATGTTAGTTGTAACTGATGAATGAGACGTTTCTTTAGGTACATCAGTTGTTGTTGTTGAACTAAATGTCTCACTTGGGATGTTAGTTGTAACTGATGAATGAGAAGTTTCTTTGGGTACATCAGTTGTTGTTGTTGAACTAAATGTCTCACTTCGGATGTTAGTTGTAACTGATGAATGAGAAGTTCCTTTGGGTACATCAGTTGTTGTTGAACTATGTGTCTCACTAGAGTTGTTAGTTGTAACTGATGAATGAGAAGTTTCTTTAGGTACATCAGTTGTTGTTGAACTAAGTATTTCATTAGGGATGTTAGTTGTAACTGATGAATGAGACGTTTCTTTAGGTACATCAGTTGTTGTAGGTGATTTCGATGTTCTACTAGGGATGTTAGTTGTAAGTAGGGTGCGATTATCATCTTTAAGTTTACCAGTTATTGTTGGCGAGTTAGTGGTTTCATCCCAGACATTGGGTTTAGCTGGTGATTTTTTCGTTTCAAACATCATATTGGTTGGAGTCGATAATAATTTTGAGGCTATTTTAGTTTCTTCGGCTATTGTGACAGATTTTGTATTCCAGGCCTGAAGAGTTGTAGTTTCTTTAAGTTGTGATACATTTGATGAAGTTTTATTTTTTGCCTCTTGGGGAGTTTGGTTAGTTGAGATGACGTCTGTTGTCATTCCAGTTGTACTTTCACTATCCTGGAGCGGACCCACGTTGTCCGGCGGTTGGGAATCGTGTGGCTGCAAAGTGTTTGTGTAGGACGTGACCTCTGTTTTTTCCGTAATTTTAGGACCTCCAAAAGATATATGTTCTTTGGTTTCCACCATCTGTGTGCAAAAAAAAATAAAAAAAGAACTTCCTTAGGAAGATTTATTTAATTTTTAGTTTGCTATATTTAGTATCAAGATATATATTAAATTTTATGAAGTTTCATTCTATTTGTTGGCAAGAAAATAAACTTTGGGTCCTTTTCATAACTTTGTGAACTGTTTGTTTGTAGTCAAGCAGAATGGGCTATCTGTACTCTGCCCACCACGGGTATCGAAACCCGGTTTCTAGCGTTGTACGTCCGCAGACATACCGCTGTGCCACTCGGGGGCTAACTTTGTGAACCTTGTAACTTTGCTCAAAATCATTTTTTGTCTCTCTGTGTGTAAAAGACGAAATGAATATCAGAAAAATAAACTTGCTTTTAACTACTTCCAACTGCATTATATCAGTCAAAAATGTTTCAACAGCAGCTTCTTTAAGTTATTACTCCGTGTAAATGTATATGGCGAGGCTTAAAGTAAGGCTTAGTTTTTTTTTTAAAGAAGTTCGTTGATGTGTTCCCTCGTCCATTGGAACCTTTGCATAAGTATACTGACTCTTACACGAACACGATGACTCCGCTATTTTTAAGATAGGTCTGTACCTTATGAACTTAGCTTTTGGTACTGATACACATATGATAATTCATATAATCCAGATAGTGTAACACTGTAATTATTTCTTTTTATCTGTGCAACAGAATGCACACATAATGCATAGTACCGTCTGTTGTCTATATGAATATAATGGTACCGTCTGTTGTCTATATAAATATAATAGTACTGTCTGTTGTCTATATAAATATAATAGTACTGTCTGTTGTCTATATAAATATAATAGT